AAACATTTTTTCTCGGGAATTATCTTATTTAAAAGCTTATTATAGATAAGTTCAAATATTTAGTTGTTTATATAAATATCAAGCTAAAATATCAATTTTAAATATCAGTTTATCATTCACGATTAATAATTAATGATATTTATGTATATGTTAAGATATATTGCATAAATATATTTAGATTCTTAAAAAAATAGTGTTACGTTTAATATCGAATGTAATAGTGTTCCTTTACGTATATATTACAGCTTTGTCATGGACAACCCTACTTGATAGATGTCCACAAAACAATGTCATAAAACGTGTAATTGAATTGCACCGTTTGACCAGACGCTTTGATCTTCCTCTACGAATTGAATCCGTGGTTAATACAATTAACCTATATTATAGGAAGTACTTGCGTACGAGAATCAGCTTTTCTGTACATGCGACTTCAAATACTTCGCACAGCATGTTTTGACTAAAGCTATTGTATTACATACTTGAGATATTGTTTAAAATGTATTTAATACTTGTTGTTTAATATTTACCTAGAAAAATACTTGAGAAAAAAATACATATTAAAATATAACGTAATACAATAATTCTTTACATATATTTATATATATCGAAGATTCATAACAATGACTTTCATTAAACTTCGATTAATTTAATCAGTGATTGGCTCATCAAATAATACCTATTTTGTTGATATGCATAGAATTATTAATTTTTGGTTGTTTAACATTCAAAAATATTAGATCAGGGCCGACAAATTATATAAAGGAATTTTGTTTTAAATGATTTTATCGATTGCATTTGCTGATTAAGTTAATTGGAAGTTGATTGAAGTTACGCCTTACAATGGAAAGTTTTCATTATTTTTTGCGAACGAGTAAAGAGTCGATGCTGTTCGGAATGCAGTTTTAGTTATCCTACCTTATAATTTAATTATTTTAATTTAATTTACATATTGTTATTAATTATTTACATTTATTCTACATAGGTAAAATTGGACTTTTTTACCTGATATTCTATGGTGTTCTGGCGGCGCTCGTTGCCATTTGTTTTTGGGGATTCTTTCAAACACTCGATCCAAGGATACCGAGGTGGCAACTCGAAAGATCTATTATTGGAACAAATCCAGGTAAATTACACTAGTTTACAAAAATATTTTTTTTAATTACTTTGAACCAGATAAGGTATTTCTTATAAATTTTTAAATGGTAAAAACGCATGTAATTCAAATTGCACCAATGCATAGTGTCAGGTTGCTAAAATAATTGAAGTTTAATGTGCAAAAAATTATTTTTTACGATATTTGAAATTTTTTAATAAAAAAGGTTAACGTTATCTTGAAATTTTGATTAACATTAATTATTTTGAAAACCTGATATACTAATGAAATTTGATTTGTAGTATAATATTTATAACATTCAAAAATTTATAAGAAATATTTGGTTCAAAATAATTTTTTTATTATAAGCTAATATTATCTTTTATTGATAATAGATCGATAAATGATTAAGATATCTTTCTACTTTTGTAAATATTGAATAATTTTTGTAACTATTTTTAATTATTTATAGAATATTATTTATGTAATCTGTATTTTTTAATATAAAATAATAAAACTAGCATAAAAAAGTATAAAATATAAAAATTAAAATATATGTTGCAATTGCTTAAAGGAAACGAAATTATGCTTTATATATACAGGATTGGGATTTAGACCAATGCCACCGACAGAGAATGTGGAGAGTACTTTGATTTGGTACAAAGGCACTGACAACGAAAACTTCAAACACTGGGTTGATTCACTACAAAATTTCTTAAAAGGTAATCATCCATAATAAATAAGAAATTCGTCTATCAATCAGGATGCTTACATCTGCATACTTCCGTTATTCTTTCCTAATTAATTTCTATAATTAATTTTTTAATTGCCAAATATAATTGTCGATTATTAATCGATAATTTTTCATACTATTTCAGATTATATAACCCCTGGGTCTGTTCTTGGTCTTGGCGCTAACATTAACAAATGCGATTATAATCAGCCGCCGCCACCTGGAAAAGTTTGTGATGTTGATGTAAAAAATTGGTATCCTTGCACTAAGGAGAACAGATATAACTACCATAAATCCGCTCCTTGCATTTTCCTTAAGCTGAACAAAGTACGTGCATCATAATATAAAATAATTTGATAATTTGTATAACAAGATGTTTATTGACAAATATATAAACTAACTTTTAAACACCTTCAATAATCAATATCAATTAAAATCAATATTATACATTTGATGAAAATCAATATCATATTTTTTGTATTTTTGTTTATCAGATTTATGGCTGGAGACCAGACTTTTACAACGATACTGAACATTTACCAGAAAAGATGCCACTTGATCTCAAAGAACACATCGCTAGTCTGAAAGGGAATAATTCCTTACAGCTCAACACAATCTGGGTATCCTGCGAAGGTGAAAATCCTGCTGATCAGGAGAATATTGGACCAATTAATTATTTGCCACGACGCGGTTTTCCTGGTTATTTTTATCCTTATGAAAATTCTGAAGGTTACTTGAGCCCACTAGTTGCAGTGCACTTTGTCAGACCACGAAGTAAGTATAATATGTGCGTATTGTATATAAGGGTGAGTGCTGAAATTATTGGGAAGTGCTAAAATTAAATAATTATCATTTTATAATGAACAAAATGAAATAAATTAATAACAAAATTAATTTAATATTATACTGTGTATTAATTAAGAACAAAACTATTATTTTTACTAGCATATAATGCAAAAAGATTATATAATATATATGACTGCATCTCTATTATTCACTTTATATAAATCTGTTTTCAAATCTTCTTTAAAATTTTATTGATTTCAAAATAATTAGAAGGAAAGTCATTTTTATGATATATGCTACTAAAAATAACGAGTTGCTCTTATAGAGTGTTTAATTCATTTTATTCATTTATTTATTTATGATAAGATCACTGCTATTTTGTTTCAATAGTACATTTAACAATTTTTATTACACTAAAAAAATAGTATACTTATAGAGTAATGAAAAAATAAAAACACAAACTAAATTACATTTATCTTTCATTTTCAGCTGGAATTTTGATAAATGTCGAATGCAAAGCGTGGGCAAAAAATATTAAGCATAGTCGTAACGACAAAATTGGTGCGGTCCATTTTGAGCTGATGATAGATTAACGAAATCTAAAAACTGCCTTCGGCACCTTATGCAAGTCTCTTAAAGTAACACGAGTGTCTTCGAGAGACATTAGAGGAAGCCATTAGGCACCTTCATCTTCCAAATAATAAAAATATGAGCAAATATTTTTTCGAAGTTGACGACATGCCGCCCGATTGTCTGAATGACATTAATTGAGTACAAAACAAAGAAGTTCTTACAATAGACATTTCCGAAACTTTAAATAGTGCATTATGAAAATCACAAATTTTGAGAGATTGCATATGTATATGCTGAATGAAGACATAGCGAGAATAACGACTAAGAAAATGGATGTTAATATTAAGAATTAGTGCTATCATTGAGAATAACTTTTTAATAAATTTTTCTCTTTCACATTAAATCTGCTGTTTTAGATTTCAATAATTTATTTATAATCATAAATTTATTTAAAAAGAATTTTTAGAGAGTGTATTTAACACACGTAAAAGACTTGTTATTCTTATAATTAATCATATGTCATTTTAGATTTGTGAATTAAATTAATTAATAAGTAATTATTTATTTCCCAAGAATTCTAAGAATGTAATAATTTTATCATTTGTGACATTCATAAAATTATCTTTCTTGCGTGAAAAAATTAATAATTAGTATTCCAAATATTAGTATTGCTAATTTTGATTTACAATTTGTGTCAATTTGTGTAATATATTATTTTATAATGTCGTTATTCTCGTTGATATCGGCTACATATTTGCAGATAAAAGAAATTTTTTATGAATTTAATATGCCTCTTTACAAATGAAAATTAAAAAGAAATAAAAGAATGGAACAATGGAATCTCAAAGAATTATAATCCTCTATCTCTGGTGAAAAAAATTTTTCACAATATCTCATAATATATTAATTTAAGAACTTGTCATATTTTAAATTTATAAAAATTTCTGAAAAATGCTTTAAATTTTTTTTAGATTTTATAAATTTTCTTCAGAAATTTTAACTATAGAACAAAATTATAGAATGAAAAAAATCTTAGAATATTTAAGAGTTCATATACGTAAAAAATTTTAGAAAAAAATGTAGATTTCTTCAATATTTCTCGTATTTTAATTTGTATAAAATATCTGACAAACTGTCTAAAAAATATGAAATTGTAGAGGAATTAAAAAAATTTTGATACAGAATTCTGATATGAAAATTTTTAGAAATTATAAAGAATTCTAAAAAGTTTTCGCCAGGGATGTGTGCCTTCATTTGCTCATAAGCGCGAGTTTATTTCGCCTTTGTGCAATTGAAAATTGAGAATGAAAGAATAGAATAATTAAATCTTAAAGAATTACAATTATTTACGCGTGCCTTTCTTTGCTCATAAGCACAATTTATACATATACATATAAAAACCGACCAACATAATACATATAAAAGAATCTCATTTGGAATTATTTAATATACTCATATACATATATACATATATAATATTAGCTGGATAGATTTTTTTATAATCAGGCGAGCAACTTTGAAGACTTTTTTAATATTCAAATGACATATATGACTATAGAAATTAATACGTTCTCAGGTAATATTATATTTTTTACCTTACTGGAACGCGTCAGTAATTTTGTCAAATAGAAATTAAGGATCGCGAAATAGATAGTAATCGTATAAATATTTTTTACAAATAAGGAATTTAAAATAAATTTGGCAAGTATATCAAACACGATAATATTTAAAATATTTAATCATAGTATCTGTGTAAATATTAAAAAATCTGATAAAATGCAGACTTAAAACATTTTTATGTAATTTAATAAATTGATGCTATATCATACGTCTATACTGCATATAATAAAAAAGAGATTTTCAATAATAAAATATAATATATAAAGTATAAATTAAAACAAGCAAAATTTTGATATACCCTATTTTTTATTCTTATTTCTTTAATTAAATTTCTTTAATTAAATTTTAATTAAATTTCGATTTTAAAATATTGTTTATATGGGTTGTAAAAATTACTTTAGAAATAAGATAATTTTTTCTTAAAGAAAAGGAGAGAAATAGTGTTCATAGATTTGAAATATATAGAAATAAATATAATGGCTTGACTCAAAGAAAATGTTAGGTCAGCGTAATGATGACTTATGCTTAATGGTAGGTTTAATGATAAAAGGTATAAATACTAGTTTAATCGATATTAAGATATTTATAGATATCAATTTGTTTTTTATTATGTATTTGCGATTAAATCTATACATGGAAATATTTTTAAGAAATGGCAGCTAATAAATTTTTGTTTTCGCTCGGAATCCAATTGTCCGTACAGCGGACAATTCATGTATTACAAATTCGGAAATTGTAATTATTTGAACACAATTTTTAATTAATAACGAAGGAAAATTAAAAAATTCTATTTTTTGATACATTTCTTTATTAAAGGTTGTTTAATTATTATTAAATTGTATAAATGAAAATAATGGCCGCGGTCCGATTCACACTCGCAGCGCTTTTGGAATTATTTTTCATACTTTTATTAAGGTTAAATAAGGACAAATGATGCTCACGAACATGGAAAACGTGAATCGACCTGCGACTAATATATCTGATGTTGCGAAAATTAATCGGAAAGTAACGTTCTCAAAATTATAAAAGTCATATTTATTATATAGCATAGAATAACAGCAACTATAGAATCGAATTTTTTACCCTTCGCTAACATAAATACATCTTATATAATAAAATGCGAAATATATTGATTACTCAAACTTTCTCATCGTTTTGTAATATTTTATTTTTAATTGGTTTAGCTGTGATACATAAAAATATTTGCTTTCCATTATTCTTGACAAATAAAATAGAAATCCACTATTTATGCGTTTCTATACTATAAAATACTTATATATATGTATAATAGGTACATATGAAAATTTACGCTAATAATATTAACGCTAAAAAGTTTTGTGACAAAACGAAAGAAAAAAAAATGTTAAAAACAATTTGTCATATTGTCAAACAGATATCATTGATGTGCGTAATCCCAAAATCCTCATTCATGTAAGAAGGATATATAAGTATCGCTAACGTGGGATAATATACGTGTATGTGTATCTAATGTTTTTAAAACTTAGATAATTTATTGAATATTGCAAATGTTCATAATATATGTAAGAACATTATTCTTGGATAATTTACTTATACAATCTATAACATACAGAATAAACTTACAGAGGAGTCAAGGAGTAAGGATAATAAATTAACATCAGTATATAATTGCAACGAATAAATTAACGATTACACAATGCTCGCACTTATTTAAAAAGACGTTTGTACTTGTACGTCGAGTTATTTTTTCACCATTGTCGTTTATTTAAAAAATAATTATTATAAAACGCGACATTATTTTATTCTGTACAATTTATATTATTACACCTACACCTTGATAAGTACTAGGATGCTTTGCAAGCAAATTATTCATATTGACAATTCGAGCATATCTAGATATAGCTTATTTAATTCTAAGAGTGATACGTACAAATAATTCAAGATAATAGGATAGTAAGAGATATATAGGATACTCCAAAAATAATTATATAATTTGCATGTTTCACTTTTAAAACAATATTTTAATGCGAAAATTAGTTATATTTTTTATGATTTATCAACTTTTTTTAAATGCGTGTTTAATATTTTTTGATACTATGTGTGTAGATCTTCAATCTAAACAAAATTATTAAAACTTTTTGGTGAAACATTTTCTTATAGTTTCATTCAACTTTTCATATAGTAGTTTTTCAGTATTTCTATATAAATTTCAGAATTTCTGTAATTTTATAATTCTTTAGACAATTTCTCACATCTTTTATACAAGTTATAACTTTTTAAAAGAACTAAATAAATCTTTTCTAAAATTTTTATATACACACATGAATTCTGAAATATTATAAAATTTTAAATTCATCATTTCTTGAAGAAAGCTTATAAAATTTGAAGAAATTTAAAGTACTTCTAGAAATTTTTATAAATTTAAAGTAATTTTTAAAAGTATTATGAGCTATCATAAGAATTTTTTTCATTAGGAATATAAAAACTTTTATTTATATGTGAAAAAATAAATAATCATCCCTTTTTAAAAGAACTTTTAAATTTCGCTGTAACTGTCGAAATAATCGCATTGAGATCAATGTAATAATAAAGTATAAGAATTAATGAATGTCGACGAACGATTGCTGTATAATTAATAATTCATACATTGTTATAAAATAATATAAAATATAATTTTTTCAATAAAAATTGTATATTAAAAATTATGATCATTGTCAAAAATAACAATGTGTTATAGCATTACCGATTTATCAGTTTTTATTTTCAAATTGAATGAATAAAAATACATTTTGCATTTATATTTTTATTATAAAATGTCTAACAAAATATGAATATTAACTTTACAGCATAATAAATTAATAAAGAACATTTATTGTTATAAAAATCATTATTTTATGTATAATATATGTATTGTAAAGAAATCTGAATGTAGTTTTAAAGTTGTAGTAATTGGAAAATAAATAGATCAATGTGTTTATGCTCTTTAGGATATGTTAAATTAGATTAAGCTGCATTAAGTTAAGATTAAATTAAGATTCTTATTGTTTACATTTAAATTAAGTTTTTTTATGTGATACAAAACATATATGTAAATAGCGTTTATGATTTTTAGGGAAATAATAAATTTACATCTGTCTTATCAGTAATGTAACACAACTTTATAACAATATTTTTTACGAATCTCAATGCAATTATTTTTGATAAAGTTACAGTTTCTAAAAAATTTTCCTTTTAAGAGAAGAACTGATTCTTTAATTTATTGCATCGTATAGTTCGTTCAGAGAATATTTTTTTACATTTCTAAATCCCCTTTTCCTGAAACATTTAAATTTTAATTTAGCTTTATTCTAGCTTTTCTTAAAGTTTTAAATTTTTTAGAGAGCCAAGTAATAAATATTTAAAAAATAAATTTATAAGTAAAATTTTAGATCTTCAGTATACGTAATTTGTTCAATTTTTAATTAGTAATAAGTTTTTAATACTAAAAATTATATACAATGATTGATATGAATGACGCTAAGAATTTAAAACATTTTCGTTGAATGAAAGTCATATTCTATATATCTCCCATGATTAGTATCTTGTTTGTACGTACCTATAAATCAACAAAAAGCATTCTTTCTGTTAAAGTAACAAAAATTTTCTAAGATTAAATATTCAAACTAGTGGCTCGATAAGCAAGAATTCCTATTGATTAATTACATATGTGAGCAATATCTTTAAAAGCAATATCTTTAATAAATTTATTAACCTACTGTTTTTTTCTAGGCACGAGCGATTGTCTATCATCGTGATCGAAGATCTAGACACGAAGTACTATTTAACGTACATTCGAATCTTTTGTTTTTCGTGCACGGTTTCTTATTTGAAAAATATGATAAAACTATGAAAGGGACGTGTCGAGGATCATCTCCACGACTGTAACGTACAATCATTCGTCGACCATCAGTTCAAAGTGTACTGCACCCTTCTTTTCGGATCTAATTGAACTGTATTTGATATTCTTCGCCCATGCCCGACATTCTATGTTGATGATCTGATTTCCTAAAAAAAAATTCGATTTAGAATGAAACTTTTCGTGGAGTACGCTTGTATTCGTAGTAGCATTATTTATTGGCGTAATATTAGCCTAATATATCCCTAATGCATGTTTAACGAATATCTTGCCAATGTACTACTCGGAATATATTTTAAATTTTTTCATAGGCAAATTCAAAATATTTTATTAAATTTTTTTATTATAAGTTTTAATGAAATTATAACTTTGAATGCATAACAGTGCAGCATTGAGCAATCTTCTTTTCTTGTTGAGTTTAAGACACGACCTAATAATTTTCAAATACATAATAATAAGATCTTGTAATTGTTTTGCACTTACCGTATTTAACTTATCGTATTTAAAATCATTTATACAAATACGACATATTAGATAATATTCATAATTATAATAAAATGCATTTTATTCATTTTTTATTTCCAAAAATGCATAAAATGGTTTATTTTTAACGTCCTTTAAACAACCCTTTAAATAAGTATATAATTTTAATAATTCATTAAGTTAATAACAATGTATAATATTTTATTTGCTTAATAATAAAGATCATGGTTAAGTCAATCAGAGATAAAAGTATGGCATAATGTATAAAATAATATGTGAAATTTTAATATTATCTAAAATATTGTTACAATTTTCACATATTTTATTTTAGATATATTATTTTAGATATTTAAAAAAATATACAATTTACGAAAGATTATTAAAACAGGACGAAATTAAACCATGATGTAGCTTTAAGTGAGCATACAGGCCGATGACACCTTTCGACGACCGATACGTGCTGCAACACACCGGCTTTTACCGGTTTCATCTGGAGTGTGCGTCATTTGCTTACAAGTCACATGAACCAGTCAGTGTTGGTAGTTTCAATAAAAAAAATTGTTTATCCATAATACGTGTTTAACTTGCATATCACGTTGGAAATCAGAAATAAACTTATATTGTGAAAGATTCCGATAAATTTAACTATTGCTTGATACATTCGGAAATATTTGAGAGAGAAACTGCTACAAAAACGAAATTTTTTTAAAAAGCCAGAAGTATTAACGAATTTGTTTTTTAATATAATATTATTTATATAAAATATATTGTACGAAATATAATATTATATGAAAATTTAAAGTTATCGTGATTTGAGATTTTTTTGCATTCTGTCATCTTTTAAAATAGACAATTCCGTTTTTCGTTCTTGTCACATTAAAAAATATTTGATATTAATTATTATTAACTTACTTGTTGGTCGAACAAAATGAACGGCGACGACTGGACTTAAGTATCCGGGAATATTTTCATATGGATAATAGAATCCTGGAAAACCATGCCCCTCAGGATAATAATTTATTTCGCCGATATTTTCTCGGTCGTGAGGATTTTCTCCTGTGCAAGATACCCATACGGTATTTAGCTGCAATGTTAGAAAGATATAAATTGTATATTATGTGAGATTTTGATATCACAATTTTATTTAAAATTCTACGAAAACATCCCCCAAAAAAGATACGGTTGTAAATAACAATGAATTGAATTTTTCGTTCAAATTTTCAAGTTTTTTGGAAATTCTTTAAATTTTGACCAGTATATTAAAGAAACATAATATTTTTAGATAATATTTTTAAAAAAATTATTATTAAATATATGCTATATATTTATTTTATATATTGTACTAAAACTTTTTTTATTAAAACTGAATTTGATTTTATTTTAAATTAATCTAATTACACTTTGCCTATCACAGAAAGGTATTCTCTATTATTTTTATGCCATATATTATGCATAAACATCTGCTGTTATGTGATGTTTAAAAAATATTTTATACGAATATCAAATAATAATGTATAATATCTATACATATAATTTAAAAGTACATATAACATTTACGTATAACAAATACGTATAACAAGAGTTGTGTTATCGCAACATTAGTACAGAACGAAGAAATTGAACAAAAGATAATAATAATTTTTATAATTTCTAGTTCTATGTATTCGTATAGATCGAACGTACCTCACAAGTATGCATATACAGACAAAATATATATAATTAACAAATAACACAATCTTTATTCTTGTTTGATTGTTAAATAAATAAATAATACGAAGACTAATCAATAACGAAGATAAAAATGAGTTGTAAAAATAGTTCGAAAAATAATTTCAAATAAGCCTTTCTTTATTTTAATTTTTGTTTGTTTATTTTTAAGCTTTAAATATAAAATTAAATTAACATTGAGAAACTAAGAGAATTCATAGACAGTGCATCAATATGGATTGCGAATCTAAATGATGAATTTTCTTTCCGATCTTCGTTCGATCCAGATTTAGTTTATCGACTAATATAATTGACTGACCGACTAACTAACCCATGAAGCGTCGACTAATTTTATATATTTGATTAAGCCGTCTGGCATATCGGGCGGCAAATTCTGAGTATTGTTATAATACTCAGGAATCCATCCGTATATCTGAAAAATAATGTTTTTAAAAAGTTTTAAAAGAAACCTTATACAGGGTAGCCTACATAAAGTTACAAGTTATTATTTCTATTAAATGAACTTGTATATGTAATATTGTAACAATCAAAGATATGATATTATAATATATATTTTGTATCTACACTTTGACTATAAGTAAACATGATAAAATTTTCACATTAAAAAAATTTAATAATTTTGAAAAATCTTTTTCTATATAATTTTTCTTAAGCCTTTGTTGTGGCTGTGATGCTGGCGCAGCCAATACGGTAGTAAGATTCTAATCCAGCTAGCAATCCAGCAAGAAAATAAGCATCGTGTGCCACAGGTTTTAGATACAGCTATTGCTTTATCTTAATCACATACAGAAATATTCTGAATATATTACACGGATTTTGCAGATGTTGCAATATTTTTAGGCTGCTTTGTGATAATTTGGACATTTATAGTATATGGGATATGAATTCTCATAAAATTTTATGAACATAATTTTTTATGAATAAATTTACAGATAAATTAAAAGTAGAGTAAGTGTGCGAGGACCCGAAAATGTCAAGAACGATCGATGATCGTGATGGATCGAGAAGACATCGAATCAGGTTGGGTCCCGAAAATTTCGAGATTCTCGAAAATATCAGGATTCTCGACAGATTCGAGAGTCCCGAAAATGTCTGGGATTCCCGAGGAAGTTAAGATTCTCGATAAGTCGAAATTCCCGAAAGAATTTATATTTCCGAAAATTTCGACAACCCGATTGTTACTTAGAATCGCTTTAATGAATAATGAAGACTTAATGATTCTATATTTGTGCTTGATGATTACAATTACAAAAATAATTACAAAATTTTTATTAAAACGACTCTCGAAACGGTAATCAAATTTTCAGGAAAAGCAACAGATTCAAGAATATTGAATCGAGAACCTCGATTCTTTCGAGAATTCCGACTCTGTCGGGAATTCCAATTCTATCGAAAATCTCGAAAGCTTCGGGAACCCAATCCCGACCTGATCCGATCTATTCGGATTCTCATCTTTAATTAAAAGGTAATCATAATTTATAAATGTCTCAAGATAATGAATTATTGATATTCCTGAATATTTGGTTTATTTACGACAATTAAGAAAATCTTATAAAAAATAGATGAATTAAGATACATTTCATTCCAATCTTATATGATATGATACAAAGGATTTTATGCATTGTTGCCTTACCTTGTTAAGTTTAATGAAAACGCAAGGTGCCGAATTATTGAAACCGTATTGTTGATTCGGAGAACATGGTCCCCAATTGTTTACATCGATTGCACATACGTTACCAGATTTTGCCGGCTTGTTATAGCTGCAAATTTGTTGATTTCTACCGCCATTTGGCAAAAGTGATGGATTGATATAGTCTATTTAAGTAAATAATAGAAACACGATTGGATTATGATTAATTCATAACCCAGCACAGAAAAATTGCAGAAACATTGCAAAATGATTTCACTGAAACATTGCAATATTGCATGTGATTGCGAAACGTTGCTGTATCATTGTTGCAAAATTCCAACAATGTTAAGATGTTCGCTTTTTGTTATAGTGCAACAAAACGTTCCAGCAATATTGCAATGTAATGTATTTGGATAAATTTTTTTATGAAGACTCTAAAATGAAAACTATTCGTATACATATATCTTACTAACTTTTAATTTTTCTATAAATCGCATTTCTAATATGTGCTTTTCAAAAGTAATTTTTTGTAATAAAATCATAAAATATTCCAATAAATATAGTATTAATTCTGCAGGATAAATTTATTCATGAAGATAAAGCATATATGTGTGTGTGTGCCTCGAATAAATATTATCTACATTAATATAATAATACAGTCGCTTGTAAATTAATCATGGATTAAGTTAATCGCAATGATTCTTTTTAATTCGAAATCACTCCGAGTCAATTGAAATTATTATATAATTAAAATTATAATTAAAAATTATTATAATTATAATTATAATTATAAATTATAATTAAAAAATGACGGTATGAAATCAATAAAGTTCGGGTGTTGGTTTATTTTTGCGTTAACAGGCATAAATATATCATCGATCATAATTATATAAATCGTTTTCAGCAGTTTAATTGCTTATCATCTTATCCGATAATGATGCATTGATTGTTTCTAAACTCGATATTATACAATCTTTTGATTTCATATTTAAAATAAATATAAAT